TCCTCCCACATTACGATGCCGCATGTCAGAAGCATTTATAAGGGAATCTTAGTAGGCCTATTTTGCATCCTGTTGACATAATGAATATCTGCACATTTATGCGTCAAATGGTATGGGAATCGACCATTCAAAATTGTTTCAAAATACTAACGTTTAGAATAGGATAACGCTCAGGGAAACAGACTACTACTGCAGCTGTGCTTCGCCCGTTATATGGTGAGACCCGGTAAAGAGGTCAAGTTTAAAGACAATCAAAATTGTAGTTTAAGTGAGTGCTTTGTATGCGGATGACTCCAAACAGGGTGTGTATCATTGAGCAAATAAAGATTAGACCTGCGTAAATAAAGGAAATTTTGAAGTTGACTCTACATGCTTTGTTGTAATCTGCGGTGAAGTACTAAGGTGGCAAACACAAGATGGACTGAGGTTTGCCTTGGTAAAAACAAACGATCGTTACAACCCCCACGTCCACCGTAGAAAATTAGCAAAATGCTTCTAGTGCCAACAAGACACTTTTAATCGGCAAACTTAGCAGGTCTTGTCTCAGATCCACTATACCGGCCTATGAAAGTCAAGTCTGCCATTATGAAGATGAAATTCCACTAGGTTCCTTCTCTCGGTTCGTAAGGGCGAATCTCTTTTCGATAGAGAATGAACTGGCAATTATCTCAATCATCCCGTACACGTTCGAAAATATGTGTCGGCAAAATAATGACACAGTTTCCATACTGTGGACTGGATAGACGGACTGCTTCCTGAGCGGTTGATTATAGGATCCCACTTGTCGTTATAGGAAAACAAAATGTAGCAGAACTCGCGCTGGTCGATATGTCGGCGTGCACAACTCATCTGGGTCAAGTGTAGACGACTGTGTATTGAAAAACTCCTATCAATGATCAGTTTTTGGTGTCTTATTCTTTATACTCTATTTAAACTAAATAGGGAACCCCCTCTCCCTCATATTCGGACGGTCGAAGTTAAAACAATAGTGCACAAGTAAAGCAGCAGACTGGTCGAGCACAGAAACACTTTGTTTATTGTTCTGAGCTTTCGAACTCGTGCAGACGTCCATCGTCAGAGATAGTGGCAACAACAGAACAAGTGACAGTCAAAGCCAATCATCGACCGACGGCGGAAAAATGGAGGTGACAGCGTAGGGCTAAGTACGCCGGCGCCAGATCGATGAATCCATTGACTGAGTTTTCCTTCGAGGCTCAGCCTTTAATCAACTCTCTGTCTGTTTTGTTTTCGGCGTGGGCGACTAGTTTAGTGGCTGCGAACTAACTAGTGACCCGTTTGGTAGGTGTGGTCGACTACTTTTGATAATGCGTCGCCCCGTCTCACAGTCAGCTTGTGTTTGTGTATTCGCGATGCGAGCAGGCGTTCAGTCTGGCCTGTGTAGTTACAAGGACAGTTTTGGCCGGGGATGTGATATAATTTTCCTGATTGCTCCTCCGGCTTTGATCGGTCCTAAATTTTCATGGCTCTATTGTGCACGGTTGCTTGAGGGCGGTGTCCAATACCAACGCCTAACTCCGCCGCAATGCGCTCGGTTGTTTCTGACATGTCCTTGATATATGTAAAAGTAAAACGGTACACGTTTAACCAATCTCATCTGACGACGAACTGTGTCCAAATCGATCCACTTCCTCCGCATCACCAGCCACCGGGCAGACGGGTTGCCCGTTAGCCTAGTTGACGGCTACCCGGCACGTCTACAGGTGTTGGATAGTGGAACGACCTTCAATGAAGGTAAGCTTCGAAATAAGCAGGCCCAGGTCTGACGAATAAGCAGTCGGAAACCGGCAGCGACGGTACTACCAGGGTGCTGACGGCTGAGGTCTGGAACGCGGAAAGCCTTATAAAAAAAGCCGTAAAGCTTGGCGACGGCACTGTGACGTGACGGCCGTAAACCGCCTTTAAATAAGTTTGCTTGCCATCTCTGCCTTGTGGCTAGTCTTTGAAGTCAAAGCACTAGAGGTGGCAACCTCGAACATACAATAAAAGCGGCTGATGGGCACCAGCCTGTATCCGAAATTCTCAAGAAACCGGAGGAAATATTTCGGACTACAGTATTACAACCCATGCTATGGCGTCCAAGGGGAAAGGACGAGCTTTGTAACCCTGGTCCAGTGGTGCGGACGAATAATATGCCAGCTGGATTACTCAATCGGGGACGGACTATTGGTATTGGAAGCTGGAATGTGCGAACGTTCCTGGACCCCGGTCCCCAAAGTCTGACCGCGCGCAGCCTAAATCCGTACAAGGTGAATGTCTGCTGTCTGTCCGAAGTTCCCCTTCCTGACTCGGGCTCTCGAGAAATAAAGATCCCTGGAGTCGAATCACACTTCACCCTGTACCACAACAGCCCACGCGACTTCTGGTAGACACGGTGTGGCTATCTACCTCTCGCAACAAACGGACCCTGTTTTACTTGCTTGGGAATTATTCAATGACCGAAAGGCCTACGTGTGACTGAAGAGCCACTTCACGAACATTTCTATCGTCTCTTTGTACGCACCAACTTCGGCTGCCGAACAGCGTGATAAGAAGGCGTTAGTTGACAGACTCCCTTGCCTCGATCAGCTAATTGTCGCCGGGGATTGCAATGGGCGGACTGGACCTGGCGGCTCCACAAACAGTCATCATCTTGGCCATTTTAGACTTGGTTCTCGATGTGAAAATGGCTAGAGATTGCTGAACTTCGCTTATCAGAACCGTCTGTTTGTCACCCACATGTGCTTCCAGCATCGCAAAAAACATCTGCTGACCTGGTATTCAAACGAGGGTCATACGGTCAGTCAAATTGACTACATGCTAGCCAGCTCAAGATTCCGCAGCTGGGTGTACGATAGCAGATCGATGTATGATGTCGAAAATGATTACACCCACGTGTCGGACCATGTCCACGTTCATACACGCTTAAAAGTTCACCTTTCATCCGCGCTAAAAATGCCCCGTCCTAGACGCCTTGATGTCGTAAATATCCGGAAAACCAACGCTTCCGAGGCCCTTAGCAGAGAAATCCGGTCCCGTTTTAAGACCCGACCCGACGGGGAGGGCAGTAACCAATGATCGTCACTAAAAACCTCAGTCTATGGTACAGCTGAGAAAAGCCTTGCATATAATCATCGACGCCGCAATGACTGGATCAGCGGAAGAACGCTGAAGTTGTCTGCTCAGACAGCTCCAGCCAGGTCCCGTAACGATGATTTCTTCCGCCAACTTGGAAAGATGACGGCAAAGTCGACCAGGGATGACCGGAAGCAATATTGGGCTGAAACAGCGACCTCCATGGAACAGGCCCGGAACGCTGGTGACACTCGGAAACTCAACCAACTTATCTGCCAAGTTAGTGGTAAGCCCTATGCACCGAGTGACTGTTCGCGACGTGAATGGCGGCTTTATTGCTGAAAACTCGGCCAAGGTCGAGTGCTGGCGTGAGCACTTTGAGCAACATCTTAACTTCGATACCCAACCCACGTCGCCCTCGTTTCCCTCTGCAGCGGAGTTTCTTCCCTCTCCAAAGTATGCAGCGCCATTCGATCCCCCTTCTGAGGGAGAGGTCGCCGATGCCATACGGAAGCTACGCAACAACAAGGCACCCGGAGAGCACGACATACCCACTGAAATCTACAAGTCTTGTGTCCACACTCTGGCGCCCTGGCTCCATAAGGCGATGGAACAAGCGTGGAGAAACGAGATTGCTTCTGATGACTGAGGTTTAGGCATCCTTGTACCTATCCTCAAGAAGGGAGATAAAGCGAGATGCGAGAACTACCGCGACATAAGCCTCCTTGACGTTGCTGCGATGATCTTCGCTATTATCCTTATCAGGCGATTCCAGGCTTTGCGTGACTTTAGGACGAGGCCCAGCCAAGCCGGATTTCGTGCCGGACGTGGATGAGCGGACCAGGTATTCATATGAAGGCGCACACACTAAGTCCATAGCTACCATCACCTGACTGCCGTCTACTTTGTTAGCTTTGCCGCCGCATTAGATTCCGTCCATCATGAGTCCCTTTGGCTGTTAATGGCGCTGGATAGTGCACCGCCAAAATTCGTCGCCATGTTCAAGGCCTATTATCGCTCCACGATCGCCCGAGTCCTGGTGCGCAACAATCTTTCCCAACCGTTTTGTTTTCGGTCTGGCGTTCGACAGGGCTGCATCCTGTCGTCCATTCTGTTCAACTACGCTATTAACTGGATTCTCGGGAGGGCCCTACACAAGGATGGCGGTATTGAATTTGCACCCAGACACCGACTGACTGATGTCGACTATGCTCATGATATTGCCTAACTTGCTTTTGGTGATCTGCAGTCTATAGTGTCATGGTTGAACGAGGTCGCTAAATCGGTCGGTTTATCCATAAACGCTGGTAAGACAAAAGTGTTTTAAAGCTGCAGCTCTGAGCAGGAGAAGGCACATCTCGGGATGTATGGCTGTCACCTTGATGAAGTAGACAGTTTTAAATACCTCGGGACGAGGCTGCTGACGAATGGTTAGAGTAAGGGTGACACTGTCTCCCGAATTGATGCTGCCCTTCGGGTTTTCTCAAGTTTTAGAAAATGTCTATGGATCCGACGCCACCTCGCCATAGCTACTAAGGTTTGCGTGTATCATGCGTCTGTCCGGTCTGTCCTTCTTTATCGTTGTGAATGCTGGGCTGTGCGCGTAGAGGACGAGCGAAAACTGAAGGTATTTGGCCACCACTGCTTAAGGACCATCCTTCGAGTGAAGTTCACCGACTTCGTCTCAGATGAGACAGTCCGCGCTCGCTGCGACAACATCGAAAGTATTACCCAGGTCATCCAAGAAAGGCGACTGAGGTGGTTTGGGCATGTTCTTCGTCGTCCAGTTCAAGAGCTCAGTATTACTGCCCTCGATCCTGCCAAAAGCTCTAGGACACTTGCCAAAACGCATTCACGCGGTTGTCGTTCAGCAGTCCGGAATAAACTCCGAAATCATCTGTAAAAAAAACCCAAGACCGAATTTTAACCTAAAAGATGCCTGCAGTCACACACGACACTAACTGTTTCGATTGACGGAATACTTGCTGCCTTGTCTCATGAGTATAACAACAGGCGTCCCACGATCCGGCAGTCAAAAGTCGTGATGTGACAGGTTTTTACACAAATTGTCAAATACTCTCATCACTTTGCGTTTATCAAGGCAAGCATCATTAGGGAAGTCCAACACGGAAATATTGCGAGAGGTTAGAGTACTCGCTCCTTCTCAAATTAGTCTATCAAACTGGTTGAAATGCTGGTCAATAAATTGTAAACTGCAACCACCTGCAACAACTTACCTTAATCCGTTTTTAATACATTCAAGTCCCTAAAATCCATTGCCTCTTCCGGTAGTTGTTTTAATTTGTCTTTCTTTGCATAATCAGTAATATATATATATATATATATATATATATATATATATATATATCACGGCATCTGCAAGTTATATGTTCAAAGAAGATGAGTCGTCTTGATGTCATTGATCCTGCGCTAATCCGTGTTCATATTATCATCAATCATACATTTCACAGATAGGCTTTGGTTTCGGCCTGCACTTGGTATTGTACTTTGTAAAAGAGTCCACTCCAAATCCTCTATTATGCTTTATTTTATTTTTAAAATTAATGGTTCCCTTAGAAAAATAGATACTACCGCGAGATAAAGCGTGAGATTTCAAGCCATTATACAAAATTAAGAGATGAATCATTTTATATAAGATAAAAACTAGTGTTCCCGCAGAAGTCATGAGACGTTTTACTAGAAAATTAGCACTGTAACATTGTTTTTTCAATAAATTTAGGAAATGGAATTCCAGGCAAATGAGAATGACATCGGTGGTTTGCAGTCACAAGTACGTGACCACCGTTGTGATACATTCGTGTTGGTTGCAGAATTTCGTAATTTTTTTCACAAATCGCCATGCATCTGGAGCGTCGACTTAGTCATTTCCAGAAAGTACTGCAACGACCGTAGCAGTACATCAGGTTTCAAAGACTTCCTGAAACCTGCACCAGAATAACGTGCCATGGATATCAGGTTGCTCGATTTTACATTGCGCGTTTGGTCGTGTTTATCGTGCAGTCACAGCCGAGCGAAGCAACGGTAGCCAGCGTATTAAAAATGTCTTCTTCAACCAATAAACTAGAGTTTATGACCTAAATTACTTACCACTTAACCGGAGTCCGTCAACAGCGGAAAGTGTCGGAGATATTAATTCTGGGAATTATTAGTTAAGGAATGGCACATTGACAACGATAGTAGTGCTCTGAATTTACCGATACCAATGAGCTAACAACTAGTTAGCCGGTGATTCAATCAGCAAGTGACAACACGGCTAATTAAATATGCTCCCTCAAACTGTTACTTAAGATTCCTGTCTCATTTCTATTAATTTAGGCCTGTCTGTTAAGCTTTTTATGTGAAACTTGCCCAGTAACTTCGACGAATCTAAGTCCAAAACTTTTATTATCTTTTGTAACCATTTATCGCCAAAATTCAGATAATTAGAATTTTAAGAAGCGTAGAGGAACAGAAGTGTTTGAAGAAATCTGCATTTTCTCTCCTAATTACTCGTGCCTTTAGTTTGGATTGCTAACTGGGAAACACCCTAATCTTTAAATTCACGCTTTTCCTTATGCGTTTTATTCATGACAGTTTTTCTGTTTAGATGGATGTCACTTAAAATTTTCAGTGTTTAGCCTCTCTAGTGAGGCAAATGTTGTCTTGCCAACAAGCAAACACAACCCGAACAAATGGAGGGCGGTAGGTCGGAGGTCACTAACCGTCAGTTTATATCTCGCAGAACCACGGGTTGGCAAAATTTGGCACTAGATATGCATCAACAAGCACGGGCTGCATGTGGCTTGCAAGTAGGTGCACAGCTTTACCACGCACATTTAGGTGCACTTTGCACAGCCCCTATGCAACCGATTCTTGAAAAGTACACTAATTTAGGAGGGATTGTCCAAGCTCTTTTCGCTCACATTTAGTGCCCTGAGACTATTAGAATGACGCTGAACTGTGGGGCCGTGAACTGGTTTAACTTGCAGCCGTATTGCTAATTTCTTCTAGAACATATCTACTAGGATCTTCACGTCCCACAGACTTAAAATGACTTTTCAGTTTCAGAAAAAAACTATGCGGTAGAAAACATCTTAAAAGTTATTGTAGAATATTTCCAAAAACGTTGTTATTTGATGAAGGACATTTGTTCTTGGTTACCAAGCCTTCGTTATTCAGTGTATGTTCTTAAAGGGTAAACTATAGTTCTGTCTCCTATTCAGTTGCACATGGGCTAGGGTTATTTTATAGGTATGAGATGACATACTTGTTTCCGACTCTTAACAGCTGTAAATCCCACTTAAGTACTATCCGAGACCATAAAAAGCAACGATGAACGCGGGTTAAATATGTAAATGATACCACTGAATTCGTAAACAGTGGACCGTGTACGGTAGGTGTGCTAACTCATGAAATGTCAACCAAAATTCCGAAATACGTTTTCGTCCCGAAAAGATAAGTATGTAGGGTTGTAAAACTAAACAACTTGCGGTATATTCCATAAAAAATTCAGTAACCTCGGGATGCCGGCTTTCGAATTAACTTCTTACCGACTGCATGCAAAAACGATGCTCTGTACGAAATAAATGCCTAATTTTTGATGCACTTAAAAATTCAAATACATTTCATAGATAACACGCATTCTTTAACTCATTCGGTTAAAAAGTATGTCTCTTTCCAATTTCATATTCGAAGGAAGGGTATTATTCGGTTCTCAAAAACTTTTCCAATTCCCAAATAATTTTGAATCCGACCTGCCGTTACACTTGCATTCAGGGTTTAGGAGCTACAAGCCCTATATTTTCCGCGTACGGAAAACTATACATTCTTCTATGGTATTAAAAGGAGACCATACGCCGTTCATAAAATTTAACAGTGGATTCAAGCCATATTGTTAACTTTACAAGCCACGATGGGAAATGCAGAAACATGACGTTTTATGAACGGCCATCTCATGATATTAAAAAATCATATAATCGGAAACTTTTTCAAAACCGAATCCTACCTTTCCTTCGACCATGAGGTTGTAAGGAGAAGTAATTATCTATCGAAAGAGCAAAAGAGTGGCAATTTTATGCATGTTTTCTATGAAATATAATTGCATTTTTAAGGATATCAAAAATCAATCAGAAGAATGCATGTTATTTAAGTAGCCAATTTTACAGAGTGTGGTTGTTGCATGCAGCCGAAAAGACGCTTGTTCGAAAGCCGGCATTCTGAGGTAAGTGAATTATTATAGAATTACGCTGCATGATGATAAATTTTGTAATGGTGCGTAATTAATCTTTTCCAAACCAAAACGCATTTGGGAATTGCGGTTGACGTTTCATGGGTTAGCCCACCAATTGTATACTGGCGCACTAAAAGATCTCATTACCAAACTGGGTTCAGCGTCAAAGACTGAACCCGTGTCAGGCCTGTGCCACTCACATTAAGAAGGCTTGCAGTTCTGTCACATAAGGGAGAACAACTAAGAGGTTCTCCAGTGACTAACGCTTGACCTAATTTGCGGGGGCTTCCGAGCCAACATACTAGTACATGTGAGCACAGTCAAAATCCATGGGATGTAACTCACCCAGACCTGTGTTGCGTCTGTTCTGACGGTGTCGTTCATTGGTCACTGATGTTCCGTTCAGCCTTAACGCTGTA